AGACATTTTCCTACCTAACTATAATAAAACCATCAAAATCAGGAAATTAACATTGATATGTTACCTCCATCTCATCTTTAAACTCCATTCAAGTTTTTCCAGTTGTTCCGGAATGTTCTTGTAGCAAAATGGTACAGTTCAGAATCATGTGTTGCATTTAGTTATCAAGTCTCCTCAGTGTCTTTTAGGCTTTCCTCAGTAAGCATTCTTTGTCCTTCATGACCTTGATACTTTTGAAGATTGCAGGCTGGTTAATTTGTAGATTGTCCTTAATTAAGGATGGTAAGATATTTTCTCATGAGTTAGATTCAAATTATGCCTCTTCAGTAGGAATATCACAGAAATAATGCTTTGTTCTTCTCATTGCAACTTTTCAAATGTGCAGGATCTTGACTTATCCTTCTATTGATGATCTTTTTGATCACTTGGTTAATGTGATGTCTGCCAGGTTTCTTCATTATAAAATTACTCCCTCTTGTAATTAATAAGCATTTTGTGGAGAGCTACTTTGAAACTATATAAATATCCCTCATCAAGCTTTAGTTTTATATATTTATGTACTTATTGGCTCATAGTTCTCTGTTTTCTTCTGAGTATTATAATTTACTACTATCATTTATTGGCCAATGGGAGTCCCTTCAAGGTCACTTCTGTGTCCTATATTCCCATCACCAAAATATACTTAAAGTGTAAGTCTATTTCCATGAACTTTTAAAAAATGCCAGATACTATATATATTTTTTTGACAGGCAGAGTAGACAGTGAGAGAGAGAGACAGGGAGAAAGGTCTTCCTTTACTGTTGGTTCACCCTCCAATGGCCGCTGCGGCCAGCGCACCACGCTGATACGAAGCCAGGAGCCAGGTGCTTTTCCTGTTCTCCCGTGCAGGTGTAGGGCCAAGGACTTGGGCCATCCTCCACTGCACTCCCGGGCCATAGCAGAGAGCTGGCCTGGAAGAGGAGCAACCGGGACAGAATCTGACGCCCTGACCGGGACTAGAATTCAGTGTGCTGGTGCCGCAGGTGGAGGATTAGCCTGTTGAGCTATGGCGCTGGCCTCAGATACTATATTTTTAAAGTTGTTTATTATTATTATTATTATTATTTGAAAGAGCAAGAGGCAGAGACACAGAGATCTTCCATCTGCTGGTTCACTACCCAAATGCCTGCTATAATAGCTGGGGTAGGCCAAGCTGAAGCCAGGAGCCAGGAACTTCATCCTGGATCTCCCATGGGGGTGGCAGGAACCCATGTACTTAAACCATTGCTTGCTGCCTCCCAGGGTACACATTACACAGGAAGCTGGAATCAGAAGCAGAGCTGGGACTCACACCAGTGCTCTGATATGGGACTTAAACATCTCAAACAGCAGCTTAATTGTTGTGCCACAATATCCACCCCTTCCAAGAACTTTGGTTGTTCCCTTGTATATTTATACTCAACATTTACTTCTAGATGTATGCATCTAGTCTATACTAGAAACCTGTCAGTTCACTCTCTTACCACCAGTTCCATACATACCACAAATTTTCTCCCTTTCCACATTTTAACTCCTTTCTTGAACAGTGAGATACTTGGTTCCATTATCCCTTCTATATTCACTTTTTTGCCCAATCCCTGTGTATGTAACTAATCTCCCATGCTGCCACTTCATGAGTGTCTGTTTTATGCTGCCGGTGACTCTCCATCTCCAGACTTTCTCTAATGTGGTTGCCTTCCACACCCTGCTTGACTCTAACATGGGACACCACACCTTTCCACCTCTGTGTGGATGTCTTCACTTATCTGGTCTCTGATACTCTCTGCACAGACTGCCCCAGCTGCAGTTAGTATAGACACCTGCCTTGTCCTGATGTACTGAATGGTTTTAGGATTAAGTTTTTAGGAATAGGAGAGAAAGAACTACCCTCTGATGACTTATGTGAACTTAGTTTTGAGAAGTAACAGAAGTATGGAACCCAATGATTGTTGATATCTAGAGGCCTGACTTCCTAATATCTACATGTCTACTCTCAAGACTGCTATAGTTTTTTTTTTTTTTTTTTAAGATTTATTTATTTTAAAGGCAGAGTTTCAGAGAGAGAAAGAGAAAGTACAGGGAGACACACACACACACACACACACACACACACACACACACAGAGCAAGAGAGCTTCCATTCACTGGTTCACTCACCAGATGGCTGCAACAGCTAGTGCTGGGCCAGGCCAAAGCCAGGAACTTCTTCTGGGTTTCCTGCATGGGTGACAGAGGCCCAAGCACTTGGGCTGTTCTCTGCTGCTTTCCTAGGTGCATTAGTAGGGAGGGGGATTGGAAATGGGGTAGCCAGGACTTAAATCAGTGCCCTGTGGGATCCTGGCATTGCAGGCAGCAGCTTAACCTGCTGTGCTGCATTAGTTACCCCTCCTTTAAAAAAAATTATTTATTTGAAAAACAGAACAACACAGAGAGGGAGAGACAGAGCCATCTTGCTTTTGCTGGTTCACTATCCAAATGGCCACCTCAGTCAGAGCTGGGCCACGCCAAAGCCAAGAACCAGGAACTTCATCCTGGTCTTCCACATGGGGGCAGGGGCCCAAGTGTTTGGGCTATCTTCTTTGCCTTCCCAGGTACATTAGCAGGAAGCTGGGTCAGAAACAGAGTAGTTGGGGCTTGAACTGGAATGGAAAGTTTTTGATGTGGGTGAAATCAGGTGAGAAAAGAAGGTGCCCATGTTGGCCATGGGAGGGACTAGAGTTCGTGAGGGGTCTTCAGAAAGTTCATTGAAAATGTGTATTATGAAAAAACTATGCACAGGTTTCAAATTATTTAAAAATGAGCTTATTTTAACTCCATTTTTCTATGAATTTTTTGAAGTCTTCTTGGATAAGGTATTCTCCATAGGAGGGATAGAGCTTTCTAGTGATACGAGAGACATGGATATCTCTGAGGTTGCCTTATTGTTGATTGTGATTGTAGGCCCAGAGTAAAGAGATCCAGGCTAGGTCAGATGGGCATAGCCTGATAGGATAGTAGTAGTAATAAGAGTAAGCTAATATTTATTCAGCCCATAGATGCTAGACACTGCTCTTAGTGCTTTAGATATGTTGTCCATTTCATTCTCACTTAAGGTACTATTATTATTGTCATTTTACAGGTGAGGAACAACAGAGCTTGCCCAAGGTGCCATGATTAATTAAGTGGCAAAGCCAGGTTCAAACCTGGAAGCCTTCTTTAATGATGATACTTAATTGTCAGTCGTGTTTGTCCGAGTCTGGCTGACTATGCATAATGTGTATACTCTATACACACTGGAGAATGTTCAGACTTTGAAAAGTCCATATGCATGGCCTGACTTGGAGGAGTTAGGGAACAATTTGAGGCCCTGAAGGACTTTGCATACAAACCAGAATGAGTAATCTGAGCAGATTTCAGCAAGCCTTCTAGAATGGTTGATACAAAGAATTATTTGGCCTTTAGATGGATATTGGTCCTTTTGCTTTTCCAAGAGATTCTATAGTAAAACTCAAGCCAGCCTTTGTCAACCTGGCCTGAGGAATTTTGGCTGCATTTTTGGAGAGGCTATAAAGCAGTGGTGAAAACAAGTGCCCAGCTTGTGCAGGATCTATGAAGAATTTAATATACTTTTCAGTCTTAGCTTCACTGAATCCCCACGAACTTTCCCTAGAAGGGTGAGGACCCACATTAATACATAACCTAGTCGGTAAGCAGACGAGTAAACGTGGTTCATTCAGTGAGTGAGGAGAGCTGGGAAGAGAAGTGACACTGGATGCTCGTTGCCCACTCCGTGCAGGTGGTAATGTCTCATTGCTTTTGAGTGTGTTCTGGACTTCTCCAGGTACTCTTGCCTCTCCCCTGGGTGGGAGCAGCCAGGTGCTCACTGGTAGCCATTCAGAGACAAGCCTTTGGCTCCGCTGAAATGAAACTTCTGAAGGTATAAACTATGGCCATTTTTCTGTTGAGCAGTGAGATTTCTTGTTTGAGGATTAAAGTTGCGGGAAATTTGAGTGTTGAGTATAAAAGGGGAAAAGATACAAAATTCCTGCTTTGTTCTTATTTTTTTTTCTCTTTTAGGGAGTTTGAATTATTTGTGAGTAAAACTCAGGCTTTGATTTTTATATTTAGTTAGCCTTCTGAGGAGCAGACATTCTGCAAACTTAAAGGGAAAACCTAAAGGAAAAGTGATTCATTTTTTTTTTTTTTTTGCACATGTTCACTCAGAAAACTTTACTAGACTTTTAGCAATGCTCCCATTACTGCCACATCTGGGTTTTCTCTTGTTCTTTCCCTATTTAAAAAGTCCTGCAGTCATTCAGGGCCTCCAGTAGAGAGAGAGTCTGAAGCAGCAAATGGGAAGGCCTAAGGCTGTGGCCAGCTGTGCTCGCCAGGCTTGCTCAGTCCCCCAGGGTGCCACTTACACTGTGGGGGTTGGGTAGTCACTAGAGTATCCTGAGCAGACTTCACTGTGACCGGCATTGCTTGCCTGTGGGAGAAGGGAGAGAGTATATGAAGATGTCAAGGGCCAGGCAGCACAGACAGGGAGGAGTGGCTAGTAATGGAGCGAGGAGAGAGCCTCGGACACTTCTGCTGCACCTCGGAGTCTACTTAGCTCCCAGGACTGCTTGTGCAAGTGGGTCACCTCGTGTTACTCAGGGACCCGTAGCTTTACTGTTAAGTGTTGCCATCTGACAAGGGCCCACAGACCTTTTCTCTCTTCTCTCTTTTGAACTTCAGTGCTCTGTTTGCAGGTGAAGGCCAGTGTTGCATGTTGTTTTGAGAATGATCTGGGAGACTCAGAGCTGTAATAATGCTGCAGGTGCTGGTATCAGGGTCTTAAACGCAGTAACAAATACTGTGATTTAGAAGAGGGTGCCGAGATATGGGAGAGGCTCATGTTGCGTGGATATTCCTGAAGACTGATTGGAACAGGGCCACAAGTGGGTACAGTGGGAGGGGAGTAACCCAGGCTCTCTTTTTTTTCCTTAACTTTCCTCCCCTAAGTTTTAGATGCTTCTGGATGTTCAATGCTAGCACCTTTGCAGACTGGAGCAGCTCGATTTTCTTCGTATTTGCTTTCAAGAGCAAGGAAAGTGCTGGGCTCCCACTTATTTTCTCCCTGTGGTGTTCCGGAGTTCTGCTCCATATCCACCAGGAAGCTGGCGGCCCACGGCTTTGGCGCATCCATGGCGGCAATGGTGTCGTTCCCTCCCCAGAGGTATCACTACTTTTTAGTGCTGGATTTTGAGGCCACGTGCGACAAGCCACAGATTCATCCTCAGGTAACTGATGCATCATTGCTTCAGAAAAGGTGGGGTGGGTGAGGAGGGAGGGAGGATAGTGTTGTTTCCTGGGAAGCAGACGAGCTTTCTCACATCATCCTGGCTTTTCGTGACTCATCTGGAGTCCTTGCCTCAGAAGCAGGACCTGCTTTGGGCGCACTAGGGTGACTGGGACCTGAGAAGTCTGTGGGGGAGAACTGGGCACATTGTTTCTGCTCTCACTTTGGGGAATTGAAGTACTTGCTTCTCTTCCATCCCCTCTCTCTTTCTCTCCCCTCTTCCTGTCTCCTGCTACTGCTTTTTGTTCTTTTAAGGAGGACTGTGGTAGCCAGCCTCCAAGATGACCCCCAGTATTCACACCCTTGGCAGTTCTCTCCCCCACTGAATCAGTGATGGTCACAGGTAAATTGAAGTAGTCCATGGAAGAGAAACATGTGGCTAATTTACAAAGAGCATTGCAGTCTGCCTTGTTCTTTTGGATCACTTGCTTTGGGGGAAGCCCACAGGCTACAGGGACACTCAGGTAGTCCTGTGGGAGAGGCACGTGTGCATGGGAACTGAGGCTCTTTGCCAAAAGCCAGTGCTCCTTGTCAGTTATGTGAGTGAGCTTCCTTGGAAATGAATCTGCCAGCCCCAGTCAAACTGTCAGCTGACTGCAGCCCCAGTGGACATCTGACTTCAGCCTCAGGAAAGCCCTCGGACCAAATGGCCACCAGTCAGACCCCTCCCAAATTCGCAACTCACAGGAACTGTAAGAGAGAACAAATGATTACTGATGTTTTGTGAGGTTTGTTATGCAGCATTAGATAACCTAAACAAATATATTCTTGCTCTATTGGAAAGTACAGCTTCTTTGCTTAGTGTCCAGCTGTGCTCAAAGTCCTCTTACCATGTAAAGTAATGGTACTTGAAGCATCATTGGCAGCTGAGAGGCACCTGTACTATGATCTGAAGTGCTTGGTGTTTGCTTTGAGGGGAAAATTGGGAGCTGATGTGGCAGTGTCTGTAGTGGGCTGCCTTGGTTGTACTGGCTCGAGGATTCTAGCTCTTCCCTCCAGAGCAGGGTACACTTTGGGGTGCATAGACCTGTTGCTCTGAGAACAGCTTTCAGTAGGAGGCAGGAAGGAAAGGGTACTTGGGAGACAGGAAGGAATGGAGTCCATTCAAATTAAACCAGGCTCATTTCTCATGGTTGGTTTTTCTATGGAGGGGTCTTTAGAAAAAGTAGCTTATTTTACCTGCAGCCAACACCACAATCCCGTTTCTTTTCCTTTTCTCTTCTCCTCTCTCCTGTTCTCTGTGAGAGCAGCCATCTGCCTCTGGGGCATTGGAGTCAAGCTTTCTGAAGCCTTGGAAGACAGGACCTGGATAGGGAGAAGTCCTAAGGGAAGAAACTTTAAGTGAAAGGGAATACCACTTAGGAGTTGCCCAAACCATTCTTACTTCCCCTGCTTTTGCTCTGGCCTGTGCTGTAAAGTCATCTGTGCTTTCTCAAACTCCTAGAGTTTGTCTGGCTTGGTGGATGTGCCTAGCTGGTGGGTTGGGAATTTAGGTTATGTAGATTCTGCCAGGTTGGGAGTCAGGGGTCCATATCCTAAAGTGCCATATTATTTCCCTTACACATGAAGATTTCAGTGACTGAGTAAGCCCTAGTTGGACATAAGACTAAAATCCAACACATCTCTGTTGCATGTGATTCATCCCTGTTCTGAACCCTCAGAATCACCTGGTGTCTCCGTTATGGCATCTCTTCTCTCCTGCTTCCTAGTACTTGCTTGTGTATGTGTGTATTTCTTACCTTTGCGTTTGGATTATAAGGACAGAGAATTATGTAGCTCTGTTCTCTTGTTCTGCAGAGGATCTTGTCAGTGTTCCTGAAGGTGAAGCTTGACTCATATCTCAGTTTGATCTGTCATTGTTACTTTTTCTTTCAAGGACATTGTTCTTTTTATTTTTTTGTTTTATCTATCAATCACAGTGCTGAAGACATAATGCAATATAGATTTAAAACACTTGTATTACCAACCTGCTTCCCAGACTCAGGTACTGAAGGCTTCTAGACTCAGGCCAAGGTAGGGCTTTGGGTAGTTTACCAGGATCTAGGCCTGATTAAAGATTATCTCCAGGATCAATGAACCCTGATGATGTGATTCCAAGGGCACTTAAGGAATTGGCTGCCCTGGTTCATTATTAGCAAAGCATTAGCTGTTGCTTTAGAGAACTCAGGAAGAAGCATTTGCTGTCTTGCTTATCTTTAAAAGGGGGATACGAATGATCTTGGAAATTATAGACCCGTTAGTTTACTGTGATTCCAGAGAAGATACTTGACCTGATCGTCAGATAATCAATCAGCAAACAGCTAGAAGAGTGTGGGGTACTGAGTAATAACTTACATGGGTTTGTGAAGAAGAGCAAATCCTGTCAGATCAATCTACCTTCTTGCTGTGACATAATGATGGATTTGAGTGGATCTAGGGCAAGTGATAAATGTAATGCATCTTGACTTCATTAAGTCTGCACAGTGCTGTGAACAACAGGTGAGAAGCTGAGTTTGGGGCCAGATATCTATGTTGGACTATCCCTCGGTTCACCTCAGAAAAGGGGTGGGCAGCTTGAGACTTGTTGGCGGCAACTTTAAACCTCCCCCCCACCTTTTTTCTTTCTTTCTTTTTTTTTTTTAAATCTGGTCTTCTTTCAGGTTTGCGGGTAGTGGGATCCTGATAGGATTCAGAGAGAGCTTAGAAGATGGACTGGAGAACTTGTCAGTCCCAGATAGGACAGCATCCTTCCTGTGAGATCATCATCAGTCAGGTTCTCATTAGAGCCTCTGTGCTGGGGAGATCTTCTGGTCAACAAAGGAAGAGGAGTGCAAAAGCTTGGGAGGAGCGGACCAAAAATCATCACAGGGACAGGTATAGGACTTAGTAAGAAAGAAAAGAAATTGAATATAGTTTTAGTGATTGGTTTCTTGTGCAAGCTAAATAAATTCCTCATGTGGAGAGTAGTTCCAAGGAGTATGATAACTTGTTTTTCATTTTAATAAGGACGAAAAAGAGATGAATGTAAGTGGAGGCAGGAAAGATTGAGATTTGGGATGACAGTATGATTTGCAAGTTGGATTGGCTTTCCTTGGAACTCTCTCAGCTCGGCTGTTCACACGACAGTTTTTTTTTTTTTTAAGGTTTATTTGTTTATTTTGAAAGGCAGAGCAAGAGCAAGAGAGAGAGAGAGAGAGGGAGAGGGAGAGAGAGAAGGAGATATCTTCCATCTGCTGATTTGTGCCCCACATGGCTACAATGGCCAAAGACAGGAACCTGGAACTCTATTCAGGTCTCTCATGTGGGTCACAGGGGCCCAAGTAGTTGAGCTGTCTCTGCCTTCTCAGGTGCTTTAGCAGGGAGCTGGATCAGAAGTGGAGCAGTGATGACTTGAACCAGTGCACTTATATTGCAGGTGGCTGCTTAAACAGCTGCACCACAATACTGGCCCCAGCAGAATCTTTATGGGTAAGGTCTGCATCATGAGAACCATTCCAGCTCCTCTCCTGACGAGCCCCTGGTCTCTCAGTACCCAAGGTTTCTGCATAGTACATTAAAAAAAAAAAAAAAAAAAAATGGCTGGTGCTGTGGCTCAATAGGCTAATCCTCCGCCTGTGGCGCCAGCACACTGGGTTCTAGTCATGATTGGGGTGCCAGATTCTGTCCCGGTTGCTCCTCTTCCAGTCCAGCTCTCTGCTGTGGCCCAGGAGTGCAATGGAGGATGGCCCAAGTGTTTGGACCCTGCACCCGCATGGGAGACCAGGAGAAGCACCTGGCTCCTGGCTTTGGATCAGCGCGGTGCGCCAGCCGCAACGGCCATTGAGGGGTGAACCAACGGAAAAGGAAGAGCTTTCTCTCTGTCTCTCTCTCTCACTGTCCACTCTGCCTGTCAATAAATAAATAAATAAAAAGATTTATTTATGTGGAAGGCAGAGTCACAGAAAGAGAAAGGGAAAGATACTTCATCTGCCGGTTCACTCCCCAAATAGCTGCAATAGCCAGGGTTGTGCCAGGTTGAAGCCAGGAGTCAGGCGTTTCATCCTGGTCTCACACTTGGGTGCGGGGGACCAAAGACCTGGGCCATACTCCACTGCCTTCCTAGTCTACAGCAGGACCTGAACTGGCATCCATATGGAATGCTGGTGTCACAGCAACACAACAGTGTCAGCCCTGTGCATCATACAGTTATTTTTTTTTTAAAGGAATTATTTTATTTATTTGGAAGACAGAGTTACAGAGAGAGGTAGAGCCTGGGTTAGGGGTGGGGTGTCTTCCATTCTGATGGTTCAGTCCCCAAGTGACCACAGCAGCCAGAGCTGAGCTGATCCAAAGCCAGGAGCCTCCTCTGGGTTCTCCATGTGGGTGCAGGGGCCCAAGGAATTAGACCATCTTCTACTGCTTTCCCAGGCCATAATAGAGAGCTGGATTGGAAGAGGAGCAGCCAGGACTCAAACCGGCGCCCATATGGGATGCTGGTGCTGCAGGCTGGGGTTTTAACCTGCTGTGCCACAGCACCAGTGCCCATAGTACACTTCTGATTCTTAGGGTATGTCGCATCCCTCAGGTGTGTAGGAGACAGAAATGGGTTTTAGACCAGGGCTTATTTGGAGGTTTGATATGGGCTTCATTTCTCTCATTGTCCTCTGGTTTTCAGAACTCCCCAAGTCAGCTGAGTGGGACTATGTTAAAACTAACAGGTGTAAACTCTTTTGTATTTGTGTAACAATGTTGGTTATAAGCATGGTAAAACATCTAGTATTTTCCATTTGTCATCATTTTTGCTGTTTAATTTTGTGCTTTGTTCAGCTAGGTGAAACTGGAGTGATTACTTTGCAAGAAATAGGGTTTCATGTTTTGGTTATTACAGTCATTTTATTGTTTTACATGTTTTGATTTAGATTAACATGATAGGTATTGGTTAGCTTTGATGCTTTTTCATTTGAAAACATTCTTTTCACTTAA